CTGCATGAAGCACTGGGTGTTATATGCAAACAATGAATCATGGAACACTACATCAAAAACTAATGATGCAATGTATGGTGATTAACATAACATAACAATAAAAAAATGTATATAATGAAAAAAATAAAAGAGAGAACCAGAAACACGGGTTATAGTCCCACTTACGACATTTAACAGAATTGTGACCTTGAACACATCACTTTGCTTCTCTCTTAGAGCTTTTGGTCTCTGAGTTCCACTGCCTCACTAAGGTTTTGATTAATTCAGTAATTTAGTCATCAGTTGTAGTTTTTACAACATGATTCACTTAGAAGTGCTCTGAAACAGTGTGTTGATTAAACATTCTCCAACCCTGGCCATCTTGTTAACTCTATTCATTCAGTCAGCGAATAGTAAACTTAAGCACACGGTGTGTAATGAAGCTAGGGCTTCTGCTGAACCAGCTCCGGTGAATCTGCCTGAGCAAGACTGTTAAATACCCAACTTTGAAAGTCTCCAAAGATTCCAGAGTCAGAGTCACTTACATTCTTTATGGCACTGGGAGTGCAGAAGCTGTAAGTACAGAACACCGTAGATGTTAGTGAGGTCTACATTTCTCAAATTCAAAAATGAGAACGTTCAGAGGCTAAAAGTAGAAAACAAAGAAGAGTTTTCAGAAGGTCCTTAAGTTTACAATTCAGTCTTCCTAAGAAAGGCTGGAGGGAAGAGATGGAATACTGCAAAAGTACGGAGAAACTACAATAAAAGTTTTTTTTTTTAAGATACTACACAAAGAATCTTTCTAAATTAGATTGTCAAAAGCTTTAAAAGTCAATAAACTTGAACCATTTCCCCCCACATCAGGCAAAATCACTTAGTTGCTAATGACTACGTGGAAACTTCCATAGAAGGACCCAGAAAGAGAAGTAGCATTAGGTAAGTATCACTAAAGGCTATGTGTTGACAAGGTCCAGTTTAAAAGTTTCTCCTACTTTTTGAAGAGCTGAGAGCAAATGTCCTTTTATAGCAGATGCTTAGAGCATCCCTGATGTGCTGTCCCATCCTATACAAACTGAAAGGAATATAAGAGTCCTGATCAAATGGATGACCAAAACTGAATTAATGGGACAGAAGATTTCATATAGATATATATGTATAGATGCTGCAAAGACAGAGTACAGCTTGCAGAGATTTCAGACGGAAGTATAGGTTGCTGTGTCTTATCAGAGATGTGACCTTCCATGTGAGACCTGAGGTCAGAAGAATAAACTGACTCAGGATCAACAAAGCATTTGCTTCAAGAAAGTAGAGCCAAGCCAAGAGAAGCAATTGCCATCAGGCTTCTGCCTTCTATGTTTCCATCCCCCACTCAATGACCTCTTCCTGTGTGCCTTCCTCCAAAGCACATCTTCCGAATTCACAGAATTTCAACAGATAACATAACCAAGGTGACACGTGACACCAGAAATATCATTTCCATTCTACTCTGTAACAGAGCACCAAACTAAGCAGTTAAACTGAATAACTTGGCACAAAGAAACATATTCAAGGGCTATGGGTCATATAGCTACAGCAAATCAACTATTTTACATGTATTTTCCATGTGTTTTCATTGTTAAACCTATTAATCCTCTTCTATATCCTAGTGCTTGCTTTTTACTCTTATGTTTATGTACATCATAAAATATATAAGATTTCTATCATTACCAAAAGGAACATCAAAGAAGTTTTAACTTGGATCAGCTGACTTTTATACAATGAGCTTCTCCATCTTAACATTGCAATATTATTTTTTAATAGGCTTCATTACTTTTGGGTAGTTTTAAGGTTGACAGCAAAATTCAGCAGAAGGTACAGAGATTTCCCATCTACCCATTGCCTCTACATATGCACAGTCTCCTCCATAAACAACCACCCCACAAGAGTGGTACCTTTGTTACACTTAAGGAATCTACGTTGACACATCATTATCACCCAAATAATTATTTTCATTATATAATGCTTTTGGATTGGGTTTGAAAGCTTTCCATACACATATACGTATGTGTATGTTTCATATAAGCTGCTGTTTTTCTTGGCATAAAACCTTTCATGTCTTCGAAAGGATTAGAATGCATATAGAAAATGATAATGATGTCTGAGCCCTGGGATATTTCTGAGATCAAATTGAGAAAAAAGAAATGTACATTTAGAAAGATTTCAATCCTCACATACCTCCCACAATCCTAATCTGTGGGTTATCTACATCTAAATTTTCCTATTACATACATCTTATCAGAAGCAAAAGTAAAAAAATCTTTCTTATTTTGAGACTTAGTTCATTAATAAGAACAACAGCCTATCAATTATAAACATTTAGAAAGTGTTTATAAACTAAAACTGAATAAACTTAGTTTATAACTAAGAAACTAAACTAAACTTTAGTTTAGTTTATAAACTAAAACAGTAATACCATTAACTTGGTCAGGAAAGTAGACATTTGAATTTGGACTATTTATAGTGTAAGAAAGCACCCCGGGCAAAAAATTGGGAGGGCTCACTCATGAACACTGAGATTGACACCATTTCACACGGTATCTTAAAGGACTGCTCCTTTTCTTCATTAGATTGGTACACAATTCTATTGTTTATTTGATCAAAACTCAGATGTTCTCCAAAAGGTGTTCAGTATTGTCCACAAGGAAGAGAATTAATGACAAGAAGAGTCTTTATCTCCTTGTCTCTCGCATGCAATTGTCATTCCATCAAATTCACCTGAAAATGTGCTCAAATGCTTTATCCTAAGAGCCATTTCAGAAGTTCTCAGTGCTCCAAGTACTAAAAACAGCATCATGGTTCTAGGGACTGCTAATCCTACAAACATTTAGAGCTAGAAATGAATCCCTCTGCTCTTGAAACGTTAGAACCTTTCTGTTAAAGGTGAAATACAGCCCTAGTTACTAAATTTAGTGTTACCCCAAATAGTGGACCTCACTTCACTTTCCACATCACGGGGACCAATACAGTTTTAAAATCATGTTCCTCTCCTTCTGACTAGAGAGATGTCGGGCCATTCATTTTTTAAAACAAATCTTCTGATCACTTTCATCAAGCACTTAAATTCCAAAGCTTTGATGTGATGAGTAATCCTAATTTGAGCTGGGGCTCTTTCTTTGTTCATATAAGAATCACCAACAAATCTGAAGCAACTTCTATTCTGAATATTTATGTTGACTTAATAAGTCATGGTTCATAAATCTTCAAATTATTCATGCTCTAAAGTGACAGTTATCTAATACGTACCATTTAGAACTTATGAATTCTTTAAAAATATTCATTAGCGTAGGCTGTAAATGCAGTCTTAAATATTTATTTAGAAGAACTGTATAGTGATGTGGTTAGGGAAAAAAAAATTGAAGACAAACTGCCTGAGTTTGAATCCTGATTGCTTCATTTATTAGCTATGAGGACTTAGGCAATTCTCTTGATTTGCCTGTGCTTCAGTCTCCTCATATGTAAAGAATGGACATAAATATGTGAGCACTTAGAATGATGCATGGCACCAATAGGAGGCCTTGGCAAGAGATTGTTGGGTAGGAATGGAGAGAGTACATATCTCCCTGGCTGCTTCTTCACAGGGCTATGATTTGGCAATGACTATATTTCCCTACGTTATAGCTCCTTTCCAGTGATCCCTCTTTCTTGGCCTTAGCTCTCATTAGGTTTTGCTAACCAGCCCTTCTATATACCCTTCTTTAGACCAAGGAGGGTAGTAAAACCTCACAAGGCTATTGGTCCCTGGGGACCTCTAATCTTTCTTTTTTCTTAATTTTTTTTTATTAGATTCTCTCTAATCTTCTTTCTCTATTTTGTCAAAACCTCAGCAAATAGCTCCTTCATTAGTTTCTCTTCAGTTAAATCCTTTCAAGTATGGCATTTGTCTCCTGCTTGGAGGTTAACAGATATTCACAGGGAAGACTGTAGACTTTATCCTATAGTTGATGTAAAGACATTCAAGATTTAAGTGCAGGAGGAACCAGGTTAGTTCAGCATTTTATTTTTCATCCTGATAACTGTGGGCAGGATGGATTTCAGGGGCCAAATACTTGCTTCAGAAAAAAGCAGTAAGGAGGATTCTACAGTTAACCTGGTAAGATAAGGTGACTGGCCAGAATAAAAATAGTGAGTATGGATATTTGAGAGATAAGATACTTGAGAAGCATTTAGGAGTTAAATTCCCTAGTACTGGTAATTGATAGAATGCAGATGACAAAGGAAATGAAGGGATCAGAGGTGAAGGCCGGATTTCTACCTTAGGAAGTGACAGAGTGATTGATCATGCTTATGACCAATAGAACAGAAGTCCTGCCGAGCTACTGAATGCAAGAGTAGAAGTGATTTACCAGGGAACATAGGAGCTAGTTTTCTCCATGTTGAGTCTGAGGTGTCTGTGTGATATAAAAGTGATGTTTAACAGGTAGTTATACATGTGAGCCTGAAGCCTGGGAAAAGACTTGAACTTTAGATGTTACTTTTGGGAATCATCAACCACCTTGGGAATGGTGTTGAGGAGCTCCACAGGCATCTAAAGTATGAGCAGAGGAAAGGAGGTTATGAAGAAAACAGAGAAGGAATGGCCAAAGATTTACAAGAAGGAAAAAAAAAAAATCATGTGCTCAGCCCAAAGGCCAAGGGAGCCAAGAATTACAGGGAGGAAGGAGATATCAAGATTGTCAACTGCAGAAATATCAAATAATCAGTGTAGCTACTACAATACTATTTCACTACTGAGAAATAGCTACTAGTTTTGATGTTTTGATGCTTTTCTCACATTTAAAAAAATATTATGGACCAAGACATGCTGGTGTTAATATCCAAAGGGCTGTTAAAATCTGTAAACATTTTGAAAAAAATATTTACCTTTTGATGTAAACCTAAATGGCACATGTCTTCCTTGGATATGCAAGGTTTTCCACCAGCTTCCCTAGAAGACAGGCAAATGAGCAGATCCCAAGAGCCCAAATCACCTATTAGCAAAAGAATATTGAAAAACAATTTTTTATCAGGTTTTTGAAGGCACCATTTTTAGATTTAAGAATGTTATTATTTAAATCCTAAAACACAAGAAAAAATGAGTCTGAATATATTTAAAAGTCAATATTTGAAGTAACTGAAATTTTCAACTTTTCTAATTTAGAAACATTTTTATATTTAGTATTATATCAGGGAAAATACACTTATCTAAAGTGATGTCATAAGACTCCTTTAAGATACTAAAAGTTAAATGTTTTAGGTCACTAACTTCACAAATTTATAAAGTCTTATTTGGAGATTGGGAGGAAAGATGATTATAAGCTCTTTTAAGATAGGGGGTGATTGCAAAATCAAATAATGATAATAAGTCAAAACACCAAATATTTTGTTTTAGATTTTGGTATCACCATTACTTTTCACAAATCCGAAACAGATATACTTTTATATGATTTCTTAAAAAGAAAAAGTGTGGTCAGCAGAAAATAAAATTTAATGAAAATTAAAAAAAAACAGGTTTGGTCTAAAAGGAATTTGTAGTCTAGTTATAGATAGCAGAGTTGAGCTCAAAATACAGAGTATAACATGGACTAAAGTAAATGATATTTCAGGACAAAACTCTTTGCCAATAAATCCTAGTAACTTGCCAAAATAATCTCAGAAGAATACATTCTTGCATAACACTTGAACATTTGAAAATTAACATTTGTGTGTTATGAGTTTATTTTCCCTTACTCTTTTTGATTTATTTATATGTTTTTATCAACATGTCTTGCATATATAATTGGTGCTTTAAAGATATTTGTTATATGAGGGGCACCTGGGTGGCTCAGTCAGTTAAGCATCTGCCTTTGGCTCAGGTCATGATCTCAGGATCCTGGGACCAGCACTGGGGTTCCCTGCTCAGCAAGGAGTCTGCTTTTCTCTCTTCATCTGCCTGTCCCCTACCCCCAGCCACTTGTGCATGTGCTCTCTCTCTCAAATAAATAAATAAAACCTTAAAAAAAATTTGTTAAATGAATGAATAACTAGCCCATGAAAGGGTGGTAAACATGTTACTTTAGAGACAATATAGAAATAGGTATCTCAAAAATAACCAGAAAAAGAACACTAAATAATGTATGAAAGGATTGATATTACTTGGGAAACTTCCCTATTTTGGGTGGAAATCTACTTTTAAAAACTTAAGCAATTTCTATACACATGGCCTGTTTTGTTGATCAGTCCTGAGATAATGTTCCTTCGGTAACTATTTATGCCAGATCTCACAAGTCATCTCTTGCATTAGGTATTAGTGGCTTCTAAAAAGCTAGAAAATAACCAAATCTTAAAGAGTGTCTCACTTGAACACATAATGCTTTCAAAGCAGGGCTTTATAAAAAAAAAACAAAAAAAGATTGATAAGGAAGAGTGACCTATGATCATCAAGAATGAAATTTCACTCTGCACTAATCAAGTCCTTTACAATTTGACAAGCTCTATGCTCTCTGGGCTATTGGTTCCTCTGTTTGTAATTGTCCTGTTCCTAGAAGAGAAACCTCTCCACCAACAAAGGGATCCAGACAACTGAACTCAAGTTAACATGTGAGCTTTTGTCCTAGAGCTTCTCTGTTTGCTCAATTATCTCAAGATGCTGGAATATAGCACAATGGCTCAAAGAGACATGGAGAAATGATGCAGGTGATTTAGGGGTGGGAGAAATCTATGTAATAGCCATCGGCCTTAGGCTTGGAAGGTCTACGCTGTTCCATGCATCCTCACTTTGAAGGAAACTCCAAATGGATTTCTGGAGCCAAAATCAAATACTCTATGATGATTCCACTACTTTATTGAAAATGTGCACCTGGCACTTTTAGCCAAAACCTTTTGATATGGATTCAAAAGGGAAAACACAAAGATGGTTTCATTTGATATTACTTCTAGCCCAAGAAACACTAAAACTCTAGAAGAAACCCTCCTGACGTTATATACTCAACCAAATATTTTAAGAAGACAAGGATATGCAAAGAGAGATTTCAAACATGAACTGTATTGTTTGGGCATTAAAAACACAGTATTTTTTATATTCCTCCAAGTCTGACACATACTCCCCTTCCTTACCCAAAGCGTACATGCAATTTCTCAATTTGATTACAATATATATATTTAATCCATAAAAGTTCAAAACTGGAAGACATGTTTAAATAATTCAAAACATCTAATGTATTAAGAACCTCCTATGAGCAGGACATTGTACTGGAATTATGAGTGTAAATAGCAAAAAAAAAAAAAATACAGTCACTGCCCTCAACCATCTATGAAAGACTAGAATGAACATTAAAAAGAATTTAGGATAATTTATAAAGTGCCACACAGTTTCTTGACATTCATAAGGGTTACCCCTTACCTCTCAAAACTATTTAACAAATACTTCAAATTTAAAATTAATGTTTCAAAAATACTTTATAGCACATACATTTACCTTTAAAATGAAAGTAGAGCATAGCCAAAAATTTCAAGTAATCTCTTCAGGTACTTCTTGCCTAATTCTTGCCACCACAGTCTGAAAAATGCTGATTGTTTCCACTCAAAATTCCTATTGTTACCCTCACTGAGTCCTACCTCAAACCTCTAAATCTCTATTTCCTAGTTAAATCTTGAGTTTAATGGAAATGTATTTTAGATAAACACGTTCAAGTTTATAATTTAATGCATATTTCAGTGTATTATTTCAGTCTTAGTAATAATGACAAAAATAAATTTTAAAAACTAAAAAAAAAAAATCTTGAGTAGACCTTTTCACTTTCCCTTCATTTCCATCTCTGACCTTAAAAGTCAACTCCCTCCCCTGATGCCCACAGCCCCTTTTTAAAGAAAAAGCTTTATTTGTTTTATGAGTGGCACCATGTATTCAAATTTGGTTTAAAAAACCCCAAAAGCCACATTGTAGTTAGAAACCGGGCAGAGAAAAAAGCACATTCACTAGCTGAGAACATCACATTCAGAAGTCAACCTTGGAGCATTTGGGAGACAAATTTGTACCTTAGCAAAATTACAAATTGCGAAATATTGTGGAGCTTTGGGGCCGTGCTCAACTCACTGAAAGCAAGAGCAGTTAGGAGGCAAATGCCCCAGGGGATACAGCAGAGATTGTAGACTGTGGGCACACGGCTGGGGCGGGGGCAGCCTGCATGTGGGGTGCATTTGGCCTGCTGATTATTGTTATGTTTTTGTTTTAAATTTTAAGTATTTGTCATAATGCGAATGTCAGCATAATTCACATAAAAATCCAGATTTTTGTCTTCGTTTGAAAACTTGGAGGCTGTGGCGATACTGAGTCCATTTCCTACAAGGCAGAAGGCAGCCACTGACTGGAGCTGAATACAGCCTCCCACATTTTCTCCTGTTTATGCCACGTGGCCCGGCCTGGCCCCAACTGCCTGGCTCCGCCAGGAGGCGAACAGTCCAAGGCCTGGTGTAAAACATTGTGTGTCAGTGCCTAAGTTGCTCATTCAGCAAGTTGATGTTCCACGCTTTAGCTTTCAAATGAATTAAGGTTGTTCATTAGGTAAATTGGTCTTGTTAAGATGACTGTAGGCGAATTGATATTTGGTCAGTTGGTCTTAAAAGGATGTCTGAACACACCCTTTGATCTCCAGATTTGGCCACCATGCTCTCCCACAAGGCTGAGTAAGGTCATTTCAACTCCAAAGACATTTTACTGGCTGTTAAAGTTGGTAAGGACTGAAGTGTGGTCTCTTAGATTAGCTCTTTCTCTCAGGAGCCTGGAAAAATCAGGAGTGGCCTGTGGACATCTTTTTCACTTATGTCTCTTCTCTCCAGTTGGACCAGTAGAGAGACCCAGGTATCATTCCTAGGTGGGCCTGCTCTCATCTCTTTCTCATCCACAGTTTCTCTTTGGACTCTTTTATGACATTCAGACTGTCTCAGGGCTATTGCCATAGTTTTAAGTAGCCTAGAACAGGGTTTCTTTCTTTCTTTCTTTTTTTTTTTTTAAGGCACTGGGGCAAACATTCTGTATGTTGGTCTTACTCAATGTGTTTCTTCTGCCCTGGAAGGTTGACATTATTAGAGTGTAAGAGCTGAGAAGTCAGATTTGGATTTGGAAAAAAAACAGGCAAAGCTGCCATGGGCCAACTTGGATGGTGGTTTCTTAGGTTTTCCTGGCAGAGGGAAAAGGAGACCTTTATATGATTCTGCCTAGCTCCTTAGAATATTGCACTAAGATTTGAGTGCCAAAGCCACATTAATAAGTAAATAAACCGGGGTACTGGTATTAGTAGTGGTGATATCAATAGTAAATCTTTCTTGAGCACTTACAGTAAGCCAGGAACTATTCCAAGTATTTGTATTAATTCATTTATTCCACACAACATCCTCCTCGATATGATTATTCTTTTTTTGAAAAGCACAGTAAGGTTAAATAACTTGTTCAAGGTCAGCCATCCAGTTAGTGGTGGGAAGAGAATTTGAACACAGGAAGTTTAGCTCCAGGGGCCATGTTCATGACCATTATATCATTATCCCTTCAAAAACCACAGAAGCAATAGAAAAATTCAGCTTATGGTACCTTATATATTTTAACTTATGCAGAACTTCCAACAACACTATGGGGTAGAAGCAATTATTCCGCACACTTTACAAAAGAGGAAACTGAGACAAAGAGGGATTACATAGGTTTGGTATTTTTCCAGCTACTCTTTAGTGCATCTATTTTCCTTTGAGATCTTAGAGGCAAAAAGGACTATAACAGGTTTCTCGGGCATTCCCAGACCCTCACCCAGCAATAGTGCCCCAAAACATTATTAGCTACCACTGGTAATTGAAGTAAGTAAAATTTTTATCTGTAGAGGAGGGAGCACTCAACTGCACATGTACTCAGGAACTATAAATATTAACTTGGCCTCCACCTACTTTTGAAAAAAAAAACTCTACAAGTTTCTTAGATTTTTTGATAGTTAAAATGATTTCTTTCCCTGTCACAAAGAAACCAGAG